ATAGAGTTGTTAAGACGTAATGAATAGATATAACTTAAGGGATTAGATAAAGTTTTACAATATAATTATACATATATAAACATAGTGTTCCAAAGTCTTCCATAACTTAGATAACTTAAAACTTTGGAGTCTTGCTGAGTTAAATAATAAAAGTTATTAAATATTTAGGTATTTTGAAGTAAGAGGATACTAAAATATTAATTGATCTGAGTTTGCCTGCTTTGGGCTTCTTACTGCAGAGAAGCTGGAGAATAGATTTAGATCTGTTAATGAACATAGCTTATATTTTATTTGAGAAATGTCTCTTGAAAATGTGTGTTTGCCAATAAAAGAGCCTGTTTCTGAAGCATAAAATGTATTTGCCAATCTGAGGAATGTTAATTACTTACTTTTCACTATGAAAATCAAGGTTTCTAAGAGTTAAGAATTCTAATTAAGTTGGAAAGAAATTGTATGGTTTTGTCAATATAGATAGTTTGCAAATAGATAGTTCTAAAGTTGGTCATTTGTGAATGAGTTAAGAAGAAAAAAAAACTGATAGGGACTAGTAAAATTGCAGAGGGTCTGTGCAAGTTGGAAAAGATTATATAGAGGGAAGAAGCAACAAGAAACATATAGGTAAACTGAATAATAAATTTAATTAGATAAATGAATCTAAAGTAAATTAATACAGAATCTGTAAATCAATACAGAATTAATACAGAAAATGGTTATGTTATAATAATCAATTATTTGATTACTTAAAAGTCCATCTTCTTAATTGTAAGAACTGAAGTTCTACTAGCCTATGTTTGTGTTTAATAACTTTGGTTGTCACTTTGAATGAATAAACAATTTGATACTGTTTCATAATAGTAATAACATATGATCTTTTAGTTTAATGTGTTTGACAGCTTTCCCAGGATTTGAATTTTAAGAAACTTTTTCTTGACCTAGAATTGGCCTTAGGTCATTCCAATAGGCCCTGGAATGCCTCAAGGATTTTCTTTCTGCCCTTATGAAGAAAAATTTTATACTTAGGATACATGGGAAGCTCTGTGAAATAAAGAAATAATAACTATATTCTACTTATATATACATGTTATTAAAATGAATGTTCTAGAGATTATATAAAAATCTCCAGGAGTCTATAAATTCTAATATACTTTCATTTATAACTCTGTTATTCTAGAATGTTGTGTTTTACAAAAGGGACAGGACTCCATGTAAATTGTATTGTAGCTAAATCTGTAACTGTCACTTTAAGTTTCTTTTTGTCCTATAGAGAGAGTCATTGTTTTGTTATAATGCATTTACATTTGCATTTGCAAAAATGTTACATCTTCTGAAAAATCTTTGGAAGGACTCTGACCTCTTTTAAATTATATATCTCTGAGAATACATTTTCATATCATAACTGGATGAGGATTACTAGAACTCTGGGAAACATCTGAATTTATAGAAGTACTGGCAAGAAAAATTAGGAGAAACAGAATTTAATTATAGGACTGAATGAACTGAAAATAATTATAGTTTTTGTAATTTTTTGTTGTTGAAAGTATTGCTGATTTCTATTCTTTTTGTTTTCCAGACATAAGGAAACTTATTTCTTTTCTTAAAGCAGTTTGATAAATTATACTTTCATAAGCAATATTGAGGCATTTATATTTTTCTCCCTACCTGGTCCCATTGGAATTTGGAAACTCTTAATAAGTATTATTATTCTCAGAGCAATATGTTTTCATAAATCCAATAAGAATCTGATTGCTTCATAACAGGACATAAGGCCATTTTCCAAGTGTGGTTTTATTAACCAAGACTTTGACTGAAATGTCATATCTGAGAGAGACATGCCAGGACTCTGCATGTCATGAGAAAGCTTTAAGGAATGAAGATTGACTTTGAAGCGTATAAGCCCTTTGGAGAAACAGATTGGTACCTTATTTGGTCACATGGTTCATGGCAGTCTTTCCAGGTAAGGAATGAAGGTTGCTTTCCTGAAAGATAGCAAGGGACCTCAAGACACCTTTGGGGACCTCAAAAACTTGAAGAATTCACCCAAACCTAAAGGTATTGCAGGCAGAGCCTGATGGCAACTTTGTGGCTTGGCTTCTTTGCCCTGAGAGGAAACTTTCTTATTCGATTCCAGCAAAGCAGATTTTAAAAGCCTATATGATCAATTGCTATTTCTGTTGTGTTTATGCAAATAATCAGACCAAACTGGAACTCAATACAATAAATAAATTAGTCTTGATTTGGCTCTTTAATGAAAATGAGGGTAATCTTAGGGAGAAAAAGTGTGTTTCAATGGAAACCACAATACCCAATTGTAAATAAGGAACTCCAATGTAGTTAACTGTCTTCAAAGTTTTAAGGTTGTCTGTGTATGCCATACAGACCTCAGCACCTGATATCATCACCAGAAATATTCTAACTGCACACAATCTATCAGGCTGCTACTGTGTGATTTCATTCCAGCAGAAGCCTTACAACTGGAAATCTTCTCAACTGGTTTATGATTTACTATATATATTAACCTTTATGTTTTGTGTTCTTCTGTTTCATAGAATGTATGCCTATGTCCCTGTTTACCTAATTGCTTACTCACATAGTATGGGCCTCACTGTAGAAACCATCTACAGTACCGTGTCCTGAAAATAAGACTTGATGATTTGAACTTATGATTGAGTCAATGAAACATGGACAGTATATCGGCTTCACTAAAAACTGCTTTCTCCTTTTTGGCTCCCTCCTTCACCTGTGAGATAGGGAGGACTTCAGGACTCTGTCCCCCATCAGCAGGAAGCAGTCATAGAAGAGACCCAATGCCCCTTTTCCCTGAAAGGGTTCGGAGCCAAAATCCCTAAGGGGAAAATATAATAGACTGGAATAATACAGTTCAACAAGACACCTTCCATATAAAACTAATCTCATAGATGTGAGATAATACTAACGAGGGAAATGATAGTGGGGGAGGACACATAAGAATAGAGTAGCCTTGCCTGCGTGACTCAGTGGTTGAGCATCAACCTATGATCCAGGAGATCAAGGTTCGACTCCCAGTCAGGGCACATGCCCAGGTTTCGGGGTCCATCCCAACAGGGGGGGTGCAGGAGGAAACCGATCAATGACTCTTATTATTGATGTTTCTCTCTCCCCCCTTCCTCTCTCTGAAATCAATAAAAACAAAAAAATAGAGCCACAGTTATTTAGTAATTTTTCACCTTACTAACTACAGATAAGAGGTTTTCTTACAGACCCTGGGAAACTGGAGGATGAGACAAGGCTGTAAAAAGATAAGATGCTTCAGTGGGTCCATTACTCAGAAAAGAAATATATTTTGAGAACAGACCAAGGACAGGACATGCTTTGATTTGGTTGCTGTGCCTGCACCCTGACCCCCTCCAGGAGTTTGCCTCAGGAACACTGACCATTCTCTGGTCCCTGGAATGGGCTGAGCTGTTTGTAACATCATAGATTAGCCACCTGCTTATCGGACTTTGAGCTCCTAAAGGCCAGACTGCAGACCCTCCTCTCCCCTTTCTCTGTTACACATGTAGCTCACAGCTGCATGTAGTTACCTTCGCCCTCATTGATACATAATCAACCAACTGGCAAGGGGGATCAGAGCAGAATTTCCAGGGTGACTGACTGTTCTATGTTGCTGGCATTATTGGAATAAATGCTCATATTTGATTCAACCCTGCCTCTGCTTAATTTGGCTCAAGTAGTGACAGGCAGCCTTGGACCCCTTGTATCCGGTATCAGATTTGCTATTCATTCTTTGGGCTTTTTTGCATTTATATCCATGCCTGGTTTTATGATCAGGGCCATGCTGTCCTCACAAAGGAAACCCAAGTGCAGGTTATAGGAGGCCCCATCAGTGTTCACCCAACTCCCCTCTCCCAATTTCCATGAATGCCAGTCTGATGTTAACTGCCCTCCCCTAGGCCTCTTTGCTGCCTCCAGAGGGATGCTGGCTGGAATGAATGGCCTCTGCACCCCCAGTGGATAGTCCCTGGCTCCCTCATCACCTGGACACAGGTTTGGCCACACCCACTTCTTTGGCTCCTTCCCCTACCTGCTTCCTGCTGGAGCTTCCTGGGATCCCCTTCCAGAAAAAGGACTTGTACTCGAATCTTCATCTCTGATTCATCTGGGCCACTTGGAGAGACCACAATTCTGGGCCTCAGTTTCTTATCTCTAAAGTGGGGCTGCACAGCATCCTCTCCTGATTAGGTGGTAGTTCCTGCAAAGACCACCTGGTTCCCCACCCACCCAGGACAGATGGCAAGAGGAGGTTCAGCCAGATGTGCTTTATTGTGCCCTTTCCTAGCAGGCCAGGTGTTTCAGCCGCCAGCAGTGCTGTAGGTATCGGAGCCAGGGGTGGTGGTTGGGCCAGCTGCAGGTGACTTCAGTGGTAGACTCTGAGGTGTACTCCAGAGGGGACTCAGAAAGACAGGAGACATGCAGCTCAGGCACCGAGGCGCTGATTGGGGGCTGCGTGGAGGACTTCTTCTGCTGATGTTTGCTGGACTTGGAGGCCTTGGGGGCCAACTCCTCTAGTCTATTGGGGGTATTGTTGGGGGGCTGCACGGGGATGGTGGTACCACTGGGAGAAGGCACAGTGGGGGGTCCCTGGCTGGAGGAGGTGCTGGGACGTTGCACCAAGCCCAAGCCCGATGCTGAGGACTGGTGGCCTGGCTCAGAGGGGCCCAAGGAAGTGATGGATGGCTGGGGGCCCTGCTGGCCAGAGGCCTGGAGCTGGCCAGAGGAATTGGATTTCGACCAAGGAACTCTTGACCAAGACTGGGCCTGGGACTTGCCAGGCAGCTTGGAGCCAGTGGCAGAGCCTGTGGCTTGGGACTGAGGCTGGGACTGGCCCAAGGTGGTACGTGAGGAGTTCCCAGGGGCTGGCTTGCTTGGGGCTGAGGGAACAGTGGGGTTCTGTCCTGGGAAGTCAGTCGAGGAATCCCTGGAGGACTTGGGATACAATGTGTCTTTTAGCTGGCCGGCCCGCAGGTCTGCAGAGGGGCTGGGTGGGGACTTCACTTGTCCTTCTGGAGCTGGGTCACGCTTACTTTGCCTGCAGAGAGAGGGCCATAGGGGTGAGGTAGGTCTGACCGAGCTCTCGGGTCCTGGGGCTGAGCTCAGCTGCTAGAGAGTGGGATAGAGGCTGCTGGGGGCCAGGGTAGGATCAGTGGCCATCCTTGGCAAGGACAGAGTCATCTGTACATACACACATGCAGGTACACAGGCACACAATCACATACATAAATGAACTTTCACAAGGCACAAACAAACCCACTCATATATACATGCACACATACATAAATGCACACACACATGTGCACATATGCATGCACACATGCATATACACATAGACCCTACTTCCTAGGGGTGGGGGTTACCTACAGTTGGCTCCGAGAGCAGTGGGGAGCCCACCACCACAGCCGCTGGGGTGACGAGAGCCCGGCTGCGGGCCAGGGTCTGCAGGACTGGTTCCCGAAAGCATAGGAAAGAGAGGCGGACAATGAGAGGGGAAGGTGGAACACCTGATGCCAACAGCCAAGATGCCAGATGGAAGGCCAGTCAGAGTCAGGAGGAAGGGAGGCAGGAGTGAAGGTGAGTGGGGGCAGATAGGCTGAAAGATGGACACACAGGCCCAGACTGGGACAAATGGACAGCCCCATGCCCTACGAGCACACACCATCCCGGGTTATTCCTGCTGCTACGTCCAGGGCTCGCCCGCTGAAGTCTCTCACTACGCTGTCCACGGCCTCGTGATGCTTTAGAAACAGTGGGCGTATGATGCGGTGATACAACATGTGAGCCCCGTTCCACGGTCCGGGAATCATGCAGAACAACAGGAAGGCGCACTGTGGGCATGGGCAGCAGTTACACTCAGCCCTGGATTTGTGTCCAAGGAGGAAGGGTTGGGCCTCTCTCGTCAGACACTGGGCTACACAGACCTAGCCCACCCCCAACAGACACCCCTTAGGAATGGTCTGGCTGTCCCCATCAGATATCCCCTTGGCTGGGTCTGTTTCCTCAGGGAAGGAGCTGAGTCTTCCTCTGACACCCAGGAGGCAGCAGGGCAGGCCCCTCAAACTCGCAGTCTCTGTTTGCCTGCCTGCTTCACGGAGCCCCCGGTCCTGTGTGTGTTCCAGTGGCACCCACCTTGCCCGCGTAGTAGAAAGGGAACCAGGACAGGAGTAGATCGCTGAAGAACTCGGCAAGCCCGAATAGGCTGTACACCACCCAGTAGGTGAGCCACACAGTGTCGTCGTCCTTGCTTGGGCTCTCGATAGCTTTGATTCTGGGGGAAGGTGTGGCAGGATCAGGGGCTGCCCAGAGCCCCTGGGTACTCCCCACCTAGATAGCCCGTGGGCACTCACGAAGCATATGCGGGGTACACAAAGCCGATGAGATTGCACAGTAGAGATGCCCCGTAACCGAACAGAAGATACAGGCTTAGCAGAGTTGTGGCTCCTGCAGAAAAGAGGGGTAGGTGGGGGTCTGGCTCACTCCATGCCCAGCCCATAGGCCCTCAGCCTCCTCTTGGCCAGGTGGATGCACTCCACAGAGTTATCACTCCTCCCACAAGCCACAGTGACTCCTCCAGGGTGTGCTAGTCTCCACGTAGCACCTGGGCAACCCCACCGTGGCTCTGAACCCTGAGTCATTTGTCTGTAATTAGTTAACATGTCCATCTCTCCTCCGGTACTGTGAGCTCCCCAAAGACAGGCAGGGTCCTTGGCCCTGATGGGTACCGAGTAGCTGCCCAATAAACATATGCTGAATAAGTAAGCATCTGCAATCATAACCACCTCACTCTGGGCTCTATAAGAGGGCCTGGGCACATGAGGCCAGCATTTGAATATAAGTAATGGGAGAAAAAACTAAAATTGGGGCCATTCTATTGTTAAAATGTGATTGCTGGTGAGTGGACAAAGGCAATGACGGTTTAAAATTTCTTCTTGGGCCCAGCTGGTGTGGCCCAGTGATTGAGCATCGACCCATGCACCAATAGGTCACTAGTTGGATGCCCAGGTTGCAGACTCGATCCCCAGTGAGGGGAGTACAGGAGGCAGCCGATCAATGTTTCTATGTTTCTCTCCTTTCCCTTCTTCTCTTTAAAATCATTAAAAATAAATATTTTTGCCTGGCCAGGCGTGGCTCAGCGTTTGAGGGTTGGCCTAGGATCCAGGAGATCGTGATTCGATTCCTGGTCAGGACACATGCCCCGGGTTACGGGCTCAATCCTCAGTCGGGGGCGTGCAGAAGGCAGCCGATCAATGAATCTCTCATCATTGATGTTTCTCTCTCTCTCTCTCTCCCTCTCCCTCTCCCTTCCTCTCTCTGAAATCAATAAAGATATATTTAAAATATATATATGTGGTTTTTTAAAATTTCATCTTAGTATGGGATCTTAGTCTCAGCTGACATCCGGGCCAGGTCATTCTCTTTGGGGGACTGCCCTGGGCATTGTGGGGGTTGAACAGCCTCCCTGGTACCCACCCACTCAATGCCAGAAGCACCCCAAGTCATGACACCACAGATGTCCCCAGACACTGCTTAGTGTCCTAACAGGGGCAGCATGGCCCCATTTGAGACCCCTTGTCTTAGTGGGAGGCTGCAAAGAGCAGTATAGAGTCTCTCAGACCTTGGAGATCCCTCTGCTCTTCCACTCACTCACCGCGTGACACTGAGTGTCTCTCTCTGCTTGGAAACTCAGTTTCACCATCTGTCAATGGGGTGATAGTGGCCCTACCTCCTAGGGTTATTGTGGAGTTAGCTAAATACACTCAACAGAGAGGACTCATCCTTTCCATACATTACTGAGGGACTTTTGTACACAAACACACTCCCAGCAAAGAGGATCTGAGGAGAATAATGTGGGGATGTGGGGAGCCAAGAGTGTTAGCTACTCTGAAAACAATTATGGTAACTGTCACATTTAAGTGCTTCTTGTGTGCTTCTCTGTTCTGTCTCAAGCAACGACAAGAACTAAACGAAAGCTGTAGGGGAGAGGGGTTTGCCCAAGGTCATTCAAGAGCATTTACAGCCCAGCCAGGTGTGGCTCAGCAGCTGAGAGTCGACCTGGGACCCAGGCGACCGGGTTCAATTCCCGGTTGGGGCACATGCCCGGGTTGTGGGCTCGATCAATGACTCTCTCATCATTGATGTTTCTACATCTCTCTCTCCCTCTCTCCTTTCCTCTCTCTGAAATCAATAAAGATATTTAAAAAAAAAAAAAAAAGAGCATTTACAGCCTCCCACCCCTTCCCCAAGGCTATTATCTGCAGAGAAAGATAGAGGTCACTTGTGGACCAAAGGGCGGAGTCACCCACACCCTTCCCTCTACCTGTATTAGTTTTTATCCCAGAGTTTGAGATCAGGAGTGGAGGAGGGCCTCTCCAGCTGGCTCCTCTGGGTTTCCTCCTGTTACCTGGGGTAAGGGATTTGGCCATCTGGGGCAAGTGGAGCCCAAGGGTTCCTACATCTGGGCAAAGGGGGTGGGGGAATGTCACCTCTTCCCCAGAAATCACTAGTCAGGGAGCAGTGGCTCTCACAGGGCACCCCTCCCCTCAATCCCTATTCCTGCAGCCTCAGCAATAGGAGGATGACCTTAGACAAAGGGGG